GAATTTGGGAGGATCTCTAAACATACCAGTAACGACTGTATGTGATTTAGAAATAAAAAAATTATTCAGTTATCATTGTTAAAAATTAAGCTGCTAACATCATACGAGCATAACACAGATTAATATCCTTGAAATGTTAATATTAATACAAACATACAAACCATAAAGAGTATAATTGGGCTGTCATGTGTAATTTAAAATTTTCAACTAATTACATTTTTTAAAAAACAAGAAGAAATGGAGTATCAGTTTTAACAATATATTTTTTTTAACTCAATAGTCTAAATTATGATTTCAACATGCAGGCCATGTAAACATTTTTGAGATTCATTTCAGTCATTTTTGTACTAAACATTCAAAAATATGTATGTATTTTGCACTTACAGCCCATCTCAATTTAGTAAATTTACAACACAAATATTTTATCTTAGAGTTCATAAAATGAACAGCTAAAAAAGCAGATTCACATACCCTATCAGTTCTGAATATACTTAATTAAGTGCTTAATTAGAATAATTAATTGCAATTAAACATAATTTAAATTTGTGTTTAATTCCTCAGCTATATTAGACACATTTTTGAGTGCTCAATAGCCACCTATGACTGGTGGTAATTGAATTGGTCAGCACTGGTATAAACTATCCATGCTTATTTGTTTGGTAAAAGATCCACTGTATATACCACTCCCTTTTCACTTAAACCTTACAGTAAACACTGTGCACATTTAAAATTCCCAATCTTTATTCCTTACTTGATGTAAGAGAGAAGAACAATCTCAATAAAATTATGGTCATGTACTATATAAGTATTTTCAGTGAATGTCAGTCTCTCTATATAATCATGGTACTCTACTATTATAATGAAGCTGAAGCATTCCTATTGCCCAGAGATGCCATAGCTGTGATGCTACCCTAGTATAATGCACTGCTCATGTGTATGTAGCAATGCTAGTATAAACAAATCTACTGAGCTGCCTGTCATATAAAGGGACAACACACACAAATATGTGTAGCACATAACACTTGATAATGATAATAAATGACTGTTTCTGGGTTATGTATCTATTTTTTTTTTATTATTTTAAAGTATGTACTTTCTACTTATGAAAAAAATAGGTCACAACAGCAGCAATCTCACACATCTGTCTCATGTTTATTGTGCCCTGTTGTTTTATTCATAATGGCCTAGGCCTACACACACACACACTCACACACCATACAGCATAGATGTGTAAGAGGTCTGTGGAAATACACTCTATGATATTCATATGATAAAATCACCTAACAATACATTTATCAGAACCTATCCCATTGTTAGGCAGCACATTACTGTGGTTATATTAAAAAGTGTCTGTGAACGCTTCCTTTTTCACTAATGGGAAGGAAATAAATTGACCTAATGCATTTTGGATCTGACCAATTTTCAAATGATCACTACCATAGAAAGTAGGTAAAAAACATGAACTGTGAATGCAAACTGTCCAAATAAGCATCTGGGGCTAATAAGAATGGGTAATTGCAGACACCATTTTGTATTAGCCCCTTCTTTTTCTGTGCTGAGTTCTTAGAAAAGCTTCACCAGGAAGTCAATTAATTCAGTTTTGCAATATTTTATTAGTAATCAACACAAGCATCAGAAAGTACACATTTATCAGGTTATCTAACTGGAGTCTTGGTTTTGCAATATAAGCCATTCTGTCTCTGCTGGAATTTTGAAAATTGGCTCTTGCTTTTTCAGTATCAGGAAAGCCAAATCAGCAAAATAACAATTTGGGGGAACTTACTGATTAGTACAGCTAACATTGTGATATTCTTCTGGACTTTGCATTAACCAGACTCCAGGCTCCTAAATCTATCATTCAATTCCTCCCATATATTAATATGTTAATATCACACTTTTAAAAATGCTTTTAACCACTTTCCATTTATTTATTTATTTTTGCAGTGGTACAGATGGAACCCAGGGCCTCTTACATGCTTGGCAACTGCTCTGCCACTAAGCTACATTCCCAACCTTACACTTCATTTTGTTTCTGCCAAATTACCAACAAGATATGAATGGGCATATTTTTTCCCATGTAGCTTAATATAATTTTTAATACTGCTTTTGATAAAAATGATATGGGGATTTTTCACAAAATAGTATAGTCTTCATATCAAATTCATCTAATCCTCATTATCTCTAAGTAACTGTCTCTAATATTTATTAATGTCATCTCATTTTCTTTAGTCTTTTTTCTCCTATCTTCAACTTCCCACTGTACATTTCTGAACATTTCCTGAAGTCCCATAATTGTCTTTAATACTCAAGTATCGAAAATAGTCATGTGACTTTCTCCTCCCACTGAAAAACTCAGATCCCAAAGTTCTGATTTCTGTCACACTATCTTTCATCTACACAAATACTCAGTCATTTGTGATATTCTTATCATATCCTTGTCTAGACATCACCAAAGCTCCTCAATGTACCCAAATGAAATTAGGTTAAGAAGGTTGGCCAGACAACTTTATCCTAAGGAAAACCCACTTTTGCATGTCATCTGTACCAAAACCTCTAGAGAGTTTCTGATTACTATGAGTTGAAAATGTTGTTTCAGTCTGGTCCTACCTTGTCAATCCAATTTTATCTCCTTTATTCACAATTCTGAACCTTGGTCTCTTCTTAGCCTCCTCTGAGTGTTACCCTAAACATACTCAGAATTCATCCCCACATCCAGAACATTCACACTGAGATTTTGCCCATAAAAGTTCACTACAGGCCCTCTCACTTTTCCTTATTCATCACAATCTTATCAGTCATTTAGTTCAAATTTTAAGCCCCTCAATTTAGTAGCTCATTTTCCCCTGTAGACATGAGGCTATAGTAAAAAAAATGCAGAAATATCACAAGAAATTTAAAGTAGGATTTTTCCCTAGGAAAATATTGCAAGCTTAAAACCCTATTAAGCTAAGGTGCAATTTGGTAGATTCCTCTCAACAATGCCTGCTTCTACTTAGATTATAAGTAAGTGTCTTATGACAGCTCTTTGGATGAAGTCTTATACCTTGGGGTAATGGGTACATATGATAATCTGGTCAAAAAGAACAAGGGGAAGGGAGATTTCTCTTCCTCACATATGATACATCATTGGCTATATTCAAGTTCCCAAAATTGTGTGTCGGTTGGCACTCTGTCTTTTCCTAAGGATATTTTCTCCCAGCTATAACCTAATAAAGAAGGCTCTCTCATGTAGAAGCTGCAATATGGAGCTCTGCAAAGCTGATGGAGCAGCACAGAATCAAATCAAATAGAATATCTGTTGGCCTGGGTTGTGATAGCTCTAGAGAAAGTTCTCTAGGGGAGGATTGAGGGTGCTTCTTTGGGAGTCATTACCACTGAGCCATCACTAGTGGAAGGGATGGAGACATTTGATTCTAATAAAGCAATTAGCATTACTGAATACAACCACATTCCTTTAGCCTCCTCCTGGTTCTATCACTAGTTAGATTCGAGTCTTTATGAGATGCTTCAGGTGACAATGAACTGTTCACATCTCCCATTTGAGATTATGACACAGTTTTAAATATCTCTCTTTCTGCTATGGGTGTGTGCAAACAGATTTTTTCCCCCTAATTTGGTTCTCGGGATTCTGGCAGTGTTTGAGGGGGTTTCTCATTCAAGTGAGTGTGCACAGGGGTTTTCCGATGCAAGAAGATACTGGCTTCACAAAGAGATGTGTTTCCTTAAGAATATTTTAAGAACATAAAATTGTATGAAGCAATAAACAATGATAGGGTGTCTAGAAATGAAAGTATAGGATATTAGACATTTTGTATCTATTCAATTGGCAGAGGACCATGCCTGCCAGCCCATGAAAACAAACATTCTTGCTAGTCATTTCAGCCTGATTAGGGATAGCAAGAAGGGCTATTTCATTATTGTTAAGATTGCATAGAGGCCCTGGAGGAGGTGGTAGGGTGATGATGGTCAGATATCCCTGTGTGACTTGGAAATAGTGTCATTTAATGAAGACACAGCAGTGAGGCTGTGGTAATTTCACTTGATGTCTGGTGTTTTCACATGGAGTCGTCAAATGCCGCAACAGCTCCACAAAGGCCAGTGTGCAGAGTTCATTTCTGAGCCATTCAAACTTGTCTTTAGAGAATCCTGGATGTAGGAACCATGGCTAATTATTTCAGAGAAGCTTATTTCTTCCAGATAAAGGTGTGTGCTCACTGAGGCATGTTGTTCTGCTCTTTTGTTCATTAGACTGAACGGCTTGAGATGAAACTCACATTTGGGATTCCAAATGTCTATGGAGGCCAGAACTGATCCTTCTTGGTGTGTTTAATCTTCCTGAGTCTTTTGAAAGTGCCACCGATGTGGATGTTGTGTTTTCTTTTGCTTCTCACCTTTCTGGGATAGCTCATTAGCAGTGTTTTGAGTGCTAATTAAACTCATTTGATTCTTGGGAAACAGACTTAAGAAATGTTACTATTGCAGTGGATTGCTTGATCTGTCCTTTAAGAGCCTTTCCAGCTTGATGCCCCATGCCTGATGATACTGCTGACCATTTTTTTCTATTTCCGGACCAAATTAAAGTGAACCACACTGGCCCTGTTATTGAAGCAGTGCGTGGGGGTTATTTGCTATGAGGTGGTTCTGTGGCTGTCAGCCAGGATGTGAAATCTCTAGTGTCCATGCTATTTCCTGAGGTGAGCACCCACGGGAAGTAGAATTTACTGCAACCTGTCGTTTGTGCTCATGAACAGTATGACAGTAGGAAACTCTGGGGCCATGAAAGAGTTTCCAGGCTTCATTTTAGAATCAATAATGTCAGTGCATTCCTGGTTTCACCAGTCTTTAAACAGTATTTCATGATAACGGTCTACTTTTTGTTGCTTGGCTTCATCATATTCTTTCTGTGATTGCAGGTCCCACAGGTATGGATCTCTGGCAGCTGCTGTTGACCTTGGCACTGGCAGGCTCAAGCGATGCTTTTTCTGGGCATGAGGGTGAGTTCTCCTTTCCTATTCCCACCCCTACTGCTATAAAACAGCACCAAACTTTGTTAAATCCAAATTCTTTGGGTGATTTAATTAAACAATGCAAGGCTTAGGAAACTTGTTTTAGTTTTAAAATCATAAACTGGGAGGGCTTTTTTGTGAATGCTTTATGAGGAATACCATAGTCAATTTTGGCATCTGATGTTTTTACATTGAAAATAAATGCTACATAACATGCTGAGGTCATTTATGTTGAAGGCAACCCAGGTCTCCAGTCCTCAGGCTCTGGGAGAGACATGGAAATTGTGGTGAAGGTTATTAACTTACTGATCACTCAGCTCATCGGTGACTTAGGATATCACTGTCTATTTCCAGAGCTTGGAATTCAGGCCTCTTAATCATATTCTTTGAGACAGGAAATTGCAGGTTTTAAATAAATTTCATCTCTCACTCTCTGATTACCATTTGGCTAAGTTTGAGGGAAGAGACACCTGAAATAGATGAACGACATATTCAGGCATCATGAATTTTCTTGGCCGTCTCTATAATTGTCCATTCTTTTTTGTACTCTTCTTCTGTAGAGAAGTTGCAATATTTTCAAACTTAAGTGTCATAGAAAACAGAAACAGGGAAGAGTTATGAAAGGGAAAAGCAAGAGGAGGTTTTGTGGTTTTTTTTTTTTGGTTTGTTTGTTTGGTTTTTTGTTTTTGGTCCAGAAAGAAAACTTCTCATTGGGTGGGGGACTTTTTCAAAAATCATCATGAGGACTTGTATTTTTTTCCTTGCCTGTGCTTCAGCTGAGAACAACAACAATGTATTTCTCGCATTCCATGAAACCAAATTCAATTGTTGCTTGGAGAGTCACTGACTCCCTTCACACCCAACCCATGTTGGAAAACACAATTTAACAGAAGACTTAGCACCTTAAGATGTCCTGCATGACCTTCAAGCCAAAAATAAATGCATCATAGGGAGCTGCTGAGGGTGTCCAGAGTAACTTAGAAAACGAGAAGGGTAAAATATGTTGTTTTATCTGTTAAAGCAATTCCAAAATATTTATAGAAAGAAGTCATAATTGTTTAAAATATTTTCTGGCCTCTCTGGTGTTATAATGTTAACATTATGCAAGTCAAACGTGGAGAGAATTGCAGGCTCCATTTCAACAGCTTTTCCCATGGCTGGTTTTAGACCCTGGTTCTGTGCCAAAGAATTGAAACTGAGATCCTCTGCTATTCCAAATTCATGGAGGTTTAATCTCTCCTCTCTTCACTAAGGTGACTGGCACTCAATATGGCAAGGCCTGAGGAATTTAGAAAACCCGTGAAATGAAGAGTATGGCACAAGAAATTGAAAAAAAAAAATGCATCCCTGAATGGGAGCTTAGAGCTCAAATTGCGTTTCAGACCTAGAGAATCTGCAGAGAACATATACCTCAGCTGCTTCAACAGTTTATTAAACCTTAACTTCATAAGAAAAGTAAAGAAAAAATACCATTGGCTGTTTTTTTTAACATAAATTTTATTGTGTATATTTAAGATTTTAAAAAGGTTGTTATAAAATACATACATGTAATAAAATGGTTACTATAGGGAATCAAATTAACATGTTCATCATTTCCGATAGACACCAATACTCACCGCAGCAAAAGCAGCTATAATTTACCATGTATCAAAACCCCTGAATGTGATACATTATTATTAACTGGAGTCCTAACAGCACACATTAGATCATTGGACTTGTGCATCCTACATATTTGCTATTTTGTCTCCTTTTACCTATAGCTCCCAAGTCTTCTCCCTTCCCCCAAGCCTGGTAATACTGTTCTCTATTTCTATATAGTTGACCTTTTTGGTTTAGATTGAACAAATAGATGAGATCATGCAATAGTTTTCTTTGTGGGTCTGGCTTATTTCACTTAGTTTAATATCCATGTTGTGGCAAATGGAAGAATCTCCTTCTATCTTAGGCTGAATAATGTTGCATTGTGTATGTGTGTACCACAATTTCTTTTATCTGTCCACCCATGGATGGACACCTAGGTTGTTTCATTTCTTGACTGTTTTGAATGGTGTTGTAGTGAACATAGGCGTGCAGCTATCTCTACAAGGTGGTGATCTCATTACATCCCTTAGCTGGTTTTAATATTTGCTTGTCAGTAGTATTTTTTTTCTTTCCTTTTTGTTTGGGGAAATCAGAGTATAAGGAAAGTCAATGGTTTATAATAAGCACAAATCATTTATATTATCAGTAGTTATATAAAAGGAGTAACTAAACAAAGAAAAAAATTTTTTTTCTTTTGTTCATGTTGAACTAACTAAAATTTCATTAGAATACGTGGGTTACTACAGAATAAAATGGCCCAGGTATTAAGAATAGGTATGATGTTTATGTAAGAAGGTGTAGGTGAGCTTGTCCAAGCATGTGGGTGGTTGTGTATTTGCCAGTTCTGGCCACTTATCTAATAGGTTCAGCCAAAGTTAGTGGGTGACATGACATGGATCACGATCTCAGAAGACATTCCTGGGCCATGTGTTTCTTTTTCTGCCAGGTCTGGATCAAATCATTTTATTTTTATTTTCTTTCCCTTTGTATAAGGCAGACTAAAAATAGGTGGAGAATTTTTAAAAAGCAGACATTACTATAGTTTCATTAGCCATTTTTAAAAATCCAGTTTGATCAATGAAAGGTGTGGCACTGTTGAGAGAGAGATGGTGAAGATATCGCCCGAAGAAAAGTTGCCCAGGAGCTGGGAGAAGATGACAGATCTGTAGGCTGGGGGAAGATTGGCTCTTAAACCTTCAAGAAGGGTTTTTCTTGCTTGGGCAGATGAGTGATTAGTAGTATTTTTGGTCTGAGAGTATTTTTTATATTAAGTCTAATTGCCCTGTGGGAAATTTAATGAGAACTGAACATTGAACAGTATCATCATTGTATTAGCTAAAGTATTGTAATGGATATTTTATCTCTGTCTCTCATTCTTAATATGAAACTCTATATCTGCTCCTCAAAGCAGGTTAGGTAGTCTCAGGGATAAGATTTTATTCCAAAATCAAGAATGATCAACAATGCCTCATTTTTAGAGGACTTTACCAGGTTGACCTATCAAAATTGCTGCTCCTCAAGTATTGCTAATGAAAAGTAGGCAGAAAGATCCAATGGATGTAGATGTTTTTCAAGGAGTGCCTATTATCAACTAAGTCACATATCTTTACTACATCGATCAGCTTTCAACTAAGGAGCCCCTTAGGCCTCAGCCACCTATGGTGGAAGTAGGCAAACTCCTTCCCGGAAGAAGTTCAGTATAGCTGACATATTAAGAACATCCGGAAGTTAACCAGAGCCTGGATGGCTGTAAAGTCTAGATCATGTGATGAAGGCAAATGGTCAAGATGCTTTGAAGTATTTTAATAGATACATATTGGAGAAGTTAAATCAACAAGTTCAATGTATATATATTTCTCAAGAATTTTCTGTTTTCAAAGCTTGAACAGGAGGCCATGAGGAATACAATGATTTTTCCTTCGAGGGATTTATCATGAGTTAAGAGATCCAGTATGTACACCATATTATATACAATATTTATGTATAACATGTATATATAATTTATGTACATGTATGCATGCACATGTATGTTAGGCATGGCCTATAAGCAAAGTTTATAATTAGTATCATAGCTCTCTTCACAGTAATTCTGCAAAAGGTGTTGCATCATTTTATACCAGTTAAGATAAGAAACTTATATTTGGAATAAAATGTCATGTTCTAAAGAAACCAGGATCCCTAAAATAATATTTTCTGTATATCTTTGAGCACTCTTTCCAATTCTATGAAAACTGACCTATCACTGATTTGAAAGAAAATACTCTTCTGTACTGGTTGCTAAAGGAGCGGAAATTACAGCACAGAGGGAGGAAATTTTTATTTTTAAAGTAAATCCTACCCCACTACAGTTGAAGCTCTGCAGAATCCTGAGAGATTGCCAAAACGTATTGAAGCTATTTCAAAAAAGTATTAGAGTCACAGCTGTAGTTGATAGAAAGTATAGGGTATCTCTATTAAATATTTTCAAAAATGAATAATTCCAGGCTTTGCTGCATCACTGGAAGTAAAGGAGAAAGCCACAGAGCTTTAGTTTGCTGCTGTGTTAACCATCATGCTGGGCAAGAAGCAATTTTATAATCTGTTCTAATGCATGATACAAGTTCAGATACATCAGCAATCGTATGTCACCTTTGCTTCTGGTATCACACACTGGCTTTGACATTGGGATTCAGTAGGTCACAGCAGACCAGGTGAAGCTACATGGATGGTGCTAAAGGGAGATACGAGCATTGACCTTTGCAGATGATGACACAAAACTGTCTTCCAGCAAGTTATTATCCTTTATGGATTCAAAGAGGAATTTTAAATTTATGCTCCTAACTTTAAGGAACTCATAGTTTACAAAAGAGAAGACGGAGAAGTAAACATAATTCATTCAGGAACCTCCTAGGTGATTAAAAGTTTAGAGCTAAATAATAGAACTATTAGAGTTTCACTTCAGAAATAATACTAGTAATAGGATAAAAGTGAATTTGAGAGGGATGGGTACAGAGAAACATGATTATAATAGAACAGGGGAGATAATCTAAGTGTAAATGGGTCAAGGATGGTAAAAACTAAGTGGACCATGGACAGAGAGATGTGGAATAGCAATTAATTGGACACTTAAAGCCCAATTAATGTGTGGATTTTTGACTTTAGATATTTTCAGTGCCTTCCTACTCCCTCCATTTCTAAGATTCTGCGCTTTTAGTTAAATGTGAGTCAGTATTAACACTGACTCACTTTTAACAGTGGAGTCCTAGAACACAGATCAGCCCATCTATCAGCAGGGAAGTGCTGATAGTTACTTGATAGCAGTTCTCTGTGAGGACCATGCTGCAGCTGAGTGACAGCCAAGTGTCTCAGTTGCCCTTCTTTAGCACCATTTGCCAGAATTCCTCATGCCTGTGCTCAGCCCGGGTCCCACATCTTTGCATGCTGTGGCGTGGCTTAGGCTACTGTGAGGGTCCCCCATGGGGACAAAGGCCTCAGCTCCCTCTTCATTGTAGTCTCTGGACATTCATGACTGTATCCCAAGACCATGACAAAACCCCAAACATTTTGTCATTGCTAGAGTATGTACTTACCTCACAGAATGCAATAAAATAAAAGCAGGATGCATTGTGCATTGCAAATGCACTGGGCAGAACCTGGGAGGTTGGCCAGGCTAACACAGTAGCTGAATGACTCCCCCTGTCGAGAAGCTGGCAGTGAGAGTGATGAGTTTTGTGTCTCAGTTAATTAGTAAATGGAAGCACTGGGACCACCCATGAATAGTCCCAATTCACATATACCCACAATAGACTCTATAGTCGTCCACCTTAGATCTCAACTTCTCCAGGACAAAAACCTGTTGTGGTTTACAAAATGTCTTCACGCCACGTTGGTTCAGTAGTCCAAACTGGGGGTCCTATTGTGTAGAAACCCAGAAGAGGCTGCTGTGATGTACTTGGTGTGAGGTGCTGGCAAAGAGGAGCTGTTCACAGACACACCTGCTTGTCTGTCTCTGGCTAGAGGCCAACTATGTAGAAATTCTTGCAGCTTGGATCCACCCAGCCAGGTCCTATAGCTGTCTGCTGATCCTTGCTACCTAACTTGTCATCAGGTATAATCACCAGCAGCCATACTCTCAGGGACCACCCTCATTTTTCACAAGCACCAGACATTGAAGTCTCATGTTGGCTTTTCCAGCAACACTCACGTGGGAGTTTAAATAGTGCTGTCAACATTGTCATCTCCAAACCCAGAGCGAGGCTTCTCATCATCTATAATTAGCAGCATAAAGACAGTAATGATGTGTAATATAGACACACTTTGAAATATGATCACACAATTTGTCATACAAAGAGAGTATTCCTTGGTGCTCTGTCTGGTGACTACTAGATGTACCCAGAGACCCTGGTGCTTGAAGACTTCTTTAGCATCAGCTGCAAATCAGTTTTCTCTGGCCTCCATTTCTCAATCTGTTAAAAATATATCCAAAGTATTTCATCAGATATACTTATCAGGAATCTCTCTTTCTTTTTATATAAGAAGTTATGGCCTAAGTCCTAATCTTAACACTGCCTGTATTGCACTTCCATGGTAGGATTGCACATATTGCAGCCTGGTGGATGATGTCTCAACACTGGAAGAGATATTTCAGGATGATTTTACAGAAGCTCTCACTGAGAAGATGGGTACAGAGTTGTGTGAAGGGAGCTGGCATTTGTCCTGTGTCCCTCTTCTAAATGAATTTGAAATGATATCTGTCTTTCAAGTTGTGTGACAAGTCCAGATTGAGTTTGAAATGGATGTGATTTAATTGGTTTCAAGTGACTGATACAGTAACCATTGCATAACCTATGTAATTAAGTATTGTGGGTTTGAGACACTAGATATTCAGATCCATCAAGGGTGTTTTGCTCAGCCCTGTATCTCCATCCTCTAGCATTCCCATGAGGATCTTTGTTTGTTGAATACATGAATTAATCAGCATAAAAATCCTGACCTACGACTTCTCCTGTCCGGTGACTTCTCCTGTCCTGGCCTACAGTTGTCACTAATGTTCTCCATCTCCAGTTCTGATAAGTGCAAAGGTTAAATTAAGATTTCCTTACAGTGGAGGGGGAACTTGGGGGAAGGTCTGGAAATAGGTATGCAACCATAGAAACTGGCATTTGAGGGCTTTCCCTGGGCATTGCAGTTCACTTTCCTGCTGGACTAGAACTCTTCCCTAAACACGAATGCCTACAAGCTTGATTTGCTTCCCAAGTCTTGATGACCACTGTCCAGGTGACTGAACTCTGTCCCCTGTGCACCAGTCACTGACCAGCATCCTACACTGAGTAACCTGGTCACCCAGAACCATCCCCCGGACACTGCCCTTATCTGTGCCTCACCTACCTGATTAAATCTCCTCAAATATTGACAGACCTCTAGAGAGAGATATAATGAGTCCTGCAGATCCTAAATCCAAGTTTTCTCTTACCCTTTGGACATTGAACTTCAGATTATAAAAGACCTTAGTTAGGGATCCTACATATATATTCATCAATTTTTCCACCCATTCCCTTAAATATCAGATCTTTCCACTTTTCCATTGAGAGCCCACCTTGACATGTGTGACTCTCAAGGTTTAAGTAAATGTTATATTGAGAAAATTCTTAATTTCTTGATCTTTGAATATGAAAAATAGTTTATATCCTTTAAAATTTTTAGCAAAACCTTGCAAATTTGTCAAAGGAGAAATAATGTTTCAAATATTTGACTTCTGGATAGCCATGTAGATCTAACAGATGCACTTTTGTGGAGACTGAATTGTTGTTTTCACAGGCTGTATTTCCAGAAATTGTCTTCCCCCAAAACAAGAGGTCTTATTTTAGGAAAGGACCACTTTGTATCTAGAATGAAATTATCTCCTGTTGAATTTATTGGGAGGTGATTTCTCCAACACATTAGTTGGAATGGGATTGCTAATAAAACCAAAGTCAGAAACCTTTGATGTAGGGGAAGTCAATCAGTGCCTTAAAGTAGATGGTAAAGGGGAAGGCCTGAACTTCTAGGCTGAAGTGAAGAGAATGTGGTTAGCACTGAGCCTACAGTGTGCATTCAGTAAATGCTATGTACGTCACTAATGCGTTCACATGAGCTCAGTTCCATTAGCCTAAGTTTATGCATCAAATCCATCTGAGGCTGTGATCCTGCTCTTGGCTGTCATTTCCTTGTGGCAGTAGCTATCAGCCAGAAGCTAAGGTTATCAGAGAGGCTAATCAGGCTGCCATGGCTGATCCCCAGAGCATCTGCCAAGTTGCTTCGGGAGCAGATCAAGAAGAGGAGGTCTCCCAACCAGTCACAGTAGATTCCAGTTTCCTTCTGTGTTGTGTTCAGGAAAAGCTATTTAGATTACAGATTTCAGAACATTATCTTGAACTTTGTCAGAACTGCCTTTGAATCCCATTTATGGAGTAGAACTCTTCCCTAAACACTAATGTCTACAAGCTTGATCCACTTTCCTAGTCTTGCTGACTGCTGTCCGGGTGACTGAATTCTGTCCCCCATGCACCAGCCATTGGCCAGCATCCTACACTGAGTAACCTGGTCACTGAGTAACCTGTGAAGTTTTTTGGTGGAGTTCTCCAGAAGTCAGACACCAAGTTAAAGATTCATATGAAAATGAATTATTAGAAGGTGATTTAGGGAGTTACTTATAAAAGAGTAGAAAAATTTGACAGAAAAGGTAAAGAAACCAATCAAGCAATGGTATAAAAATATAAAGTGCTGTCCCTCTGGGGATGGGGTAGAGGTAGGTATCTATCTTAGTCTCCTGGGGAAGTAGATCATTCTCAGTTAGTGGTTAAGGGTTAGGCCCAGCCCAGGATGTAAATTCCTAGAAACTATGAGGTCTCCAAGTGCAGGTTTTTCAGCAGTCTAGGGGCAGCTGACAAAGGCAAAAGTGTTGGGTGTTGGGATTGAAAGCACATGGGAAATCTGTGTACGTAGACATACCAGGATTGGCATCAGCAAGACACTGATAGCATCTGGTATAATAGCTTTGTTAGTTTACATTCTCTGGGCCTCCATTTTCTCTTCTGGGAGGAAATGACTTGTTTAAAGCCTTCAGTGAGATTGTATAAGAAAAGGACCCATTAAGATAGCACAGGAAAGACACATTTGTATTCAATAAATGGTAGCTGTTATTGGTCCCAATTTGAGTTACTACAAACCTTAAGGCCTAAATAAACAAACTAAACAGACGTGTAGAATTTAATTTATAATAATATATGCCTAATAGAAAAGAGTTTGGTTGTACCAGGAAGGTTTGGAAGCTAAAGATGATTTTGATAATGACTACAGAAAATTACCTTGAAGTGAGTTTCAGATGTTATCAACAATAGAACTAAGATGATAGCATAAAATTTTATAAAATGTGATACTGTTGTGTAGTCATAGACTTGAAAATGAATGTTCAGATGATGAGTTTGATGAAGCCTTACTGCTCTCATTTTTGTGCTCTCCATAAAGTTAAATCAGATGCATACAGCAAGTGGGCTGCCAAAGCTGGCTCATGGTGGGAGTGATACTGAAAAGATCAACTCAACGTAACCAGCACTCACCAAATATCCGTAGGTCATAGACATACACCAAGAGTAGGCATGGTCCCCAGTAAATCACTGGGTGGGCTGGGGATGTGGAGATACAGAATTAAAACCAACCAGTTAAAACCAAATAATTGCAATATTTGAATTCTAATTCCATATTAATATTCTCTTGAATTCATTTCTAAGTACTTCATAAGCATTATCTTAGTTCATCTGCACAGCAGATAAAGATTCCATTATTACCCCATCTTAGATAAGGATACCAAGAGTCATTAAGTAAGTAGCCTGCATAGCTAATGCATATGAGAAGGGTGAGTCCAGCCCGGGCAGCCTGACCCCAGAGTGCACACCACTGTCTGTCATGTACTGTGATGTGACAAACACAGTGGGATAATAGAGCTGTGTACCTGAGATAAAGTTAAATGGGCTGGGCAAGTAGCCAGGCTGTAGAGATAAGTAGGTAGAGTCAGGCTCCAGTGCACCCTATGTACAATTCTAAGGAGCTTGATTGGGCCTGTGGCAAGGCAGAACTGTGACTAGTTGTAGGATTAACATGTGAACATGGACAGACACTTTCCAAGACACAAAATCAAGAAAACTTGGATTTTGGTATCTAGGAACTTTAGTTTAAATTTTTTGCCAGAAATAATTGTTTTGCAACAGATACCAATTGAAATAAATTTAGTTGGTTTAAAACAAGACCTCTGCTGGAATGGCAAGTCAAATGATAGCTAAGTGAGTAGGTGTTGCATATCTCATCAGCTTAGCTAAAGAACCATAGTTATGGGCTGGGGATATAGCTGAGTAATAGGGCATTTTCCTAGCATGTACTAGACCCTGGGTTTGATCCCTGCACTGAAAAAAAAAATAAAAACAAAAACCCTCAAATACAGGAGGAATTCCATGCACTGTGAATCCTCAAAGAATTGCATTCATTAGGTTTAATATAGCACCTACATTTCTAATGTCAGACCTCATTATTTTGTATATGATATAAACATCAGAGAAAATGATGTTATTCATATTTTGTGTATTGACAAGAATAAGTGTAATATTTATATTATGTAAAATGTTTTATATGCTTACTTGTAGAAGAAGGTTTTGGTGAAGTGTGTGTAATTTCTTCAAAGTGAATAGGCATTTCTCCCTGAGGCTAGATTAGTAGCAAAATTCCAAAGAGATAGTAGCCACCACCTCTCCTTTGAAAAGACTTGGGAGGTCTAAGGACCATCCTGTCCTTGTGACTCTTGAGTTTTCTCTTCTGTATTGTTCATAGTTCCTCATGAATGCAACGGTTGTCAATGTAAAGGAAACATTTACTGCCTTACTAACACGTCTGTAGATTGAGAACACACATATATACTGTTATACCATATGCCTTTGCCTGCTTCTAAATCTGTACCTCTTTACCCAAGCTTTTCCATCCTGGGGGAATTAGAATTCCCTATTTTCTACACAGAATTTGTGTCAGGTATAACAATGTTCTTAGACTACTCTTTTGATGAAATTAATCCACACATATCATTTTAAGTGAAGCTGAGCTTATGAGAACCAGTATATACACAATTCATTGGCATGTTTTTTATATTAATGTTTAAGGAGTAAAGGGCAAATTGTCAGAAAATACTGTATTAAGAACTCATTTTAAAATGAACTTGGGATTTTTTTTCTTTACCATTTAGTGAGCCCATTTAATGTTGTGATGGGAAGAACAACAACGAATCGAATCAGCAATTCTAGGATAGGAATCCAGTCTGTCAGCAGTCAGCTGTGGTTATGAGCAAAAGCTCTAATTTCTTTAAGCTTGTCTATTAGTAAAGCTTTTCACATCTGTAATCCCAGCTACCTGGGAGACTGAGGCAGGAGGATCACAAGTTCAAGTCCTGCCTGGGCAACTTAGCGAAGAGACCTTATCTCAAAATAAAATAAAAAGTGTTAAGATTGTAGCTCGGTGTACAGTGCTTGCCCAGCATGTACAAGGCTCTGATTCAATCTCCAATACTCCCCTCCCAATACACACACACACACACACACACACCCCTATTAATAAAGCTTTTCAAAGAAAAAAAATTTAATTTGTCCCTTTCAACTTCAAAATTATTTTTCTATTAATTCATAGATTACAAATGTGATTCTCTGGAGGAGATTCCCTCATGCAGACTTTCTTCTGGCCTTTGTCTGGTCTTTGTTGTCATCAGTGACTCCAGTGGAAGACAGGCTAGCCAAACCTGCAGGGGATGCAAAGCTAAGGCTAGCTAATGTGCTGAGCAGGAGACGTAGGGTTCAGAATATCCTGACAGCCCACAGCAATGGCCCAAAATTAATGTTAAATTTGATAAGGATAAATGCAAAGTCCTGTATCTAGGTTTGAGAAACTCAGCTTCTTAAATGAATGAAGTGGAAGTGAGAGTCCTGACCTACAGCAAATCCTCTATAAAAGATGGAAAGTATTTGGGTCATTGCAAGCATAGTATAGCTAGCTTGTTCGGAAGACACTGTCAGAGCAAGTGACGAGGCTGCCCTGAAAGCAGTAGAGGCCCTGGGATGTGGAAAGCACCGCTGCTCTGGTCTCTGCACCGACAGCAGCTACTGAGAATAATCAGAGTTCCAGACATCGTGATTCTAGAAGAATGTAACAAACCTAAACAAACAGGGCTAATGGTAAAGGTTCTTGAAATCACATTGCAGGAGCTGGAGATGTTTAGTCTGAGGGGTGGTGATGAGGGGGTAATGACGTGATGTTTGCTTTCACCATTTATCATGCTGCAGAAGACTTTAACCAATTGTGTTTAGATAGCATGGTAAAATAGTGCAATAAATCACAAAGGTAGCCTTTGGAAATAAAACATATGCATGGAAGGATTTTAGCTCTATCAGATGTAACTCTCTGACTCAGAAAATTATTGAACTTCTCAGCACTCCTATTTCTCTTTTTTAAAAAAATTGCAAATAAAAATTACATTTATTTATGTTGTACAGCATGGTATTTGATAGGCATACACACTGTGCAATGATTAGATCAATAAAACTAACATATCCATCACCTTACATTCTTACTTTTTTTGTGGTAATAACATTTAAATTTTACTCTCTTGGCAAATTTTAAATATCCCATTATTATTATTTATCAATGTGCTTTATAATAGATCTCCAGAACTTACTCTACCTAACTGAAACTTTGTACCTTCTGAACCGTCCCCTCCACATTCCCCACCCTCAGCCACCAGCAGCCAGCCTTCAACCCTATTTCAGGAGATTAACTTCTTCATATTTCCCATATAAATGAAATCATGCAATAGTTATCTTTCTACGCCAGCTTCTTGTCCTCAGTTCATCTATGTTGTTGCTTGTGGCAGAATTTCTTTCTTTTTTAAGGCTAAATAGTATTTTCTTTGTCCATTCATTCTTGCTCAGAAAGCCACAAAAATTAAATGAGATAGCATGTAAAGTACTGGCATAGCTACGGGAAAGTGTGGGGTTTTTAGTGGAAACTAATCTTCTTTTCCTTTACCTTATCATCAAGAGAGGAAGAATGAGGATACTAAATTACTGTTCAAAGAAAATACTTTATGTTGATTACAATTGTTTCAAAGTAGAATGAATGAGTTGCTAGGTCAGAGGTGGGGTTGCAGAGTTGATCTGCAGGGGCACTCTGGTGCCTCAATCTTGCCCAAATACAGTTTCACATAACAATTGTTTGGATTCTACACAGTGGGTTTCTACCTAATATTCCGTTTGAACAAATAAATCAGAAAAATTTTTAAAATGCAGAAAGTCAGTGAGCAAGATGATCCCTCTGGGTCTTTTCTTCTCCTTGGACTGTGCTTTTCTGTATGCTTGGAACTGATATTCTCCGGGACATGTTACGTTACTGCTGGCTCCTGAGCTGTGAAAAGATCCATGGGTATTTCTCCATTCTGTCAATTCAGGGGATTGTTTTATAAGTAATAGGAAAATGTGCAGTTGTGACAGACAAAGGGGTTTTCTGGCTACTTCTTTATAGTTCTCTACCTGACTGCAGGACCATCGCCTTATGTCTACTCCCCTGTGCTCATGTGTGGCTTTGTCAAGGCAGTCATGGAATTAGCTTGCCAGTATTTTAACTCTGGATAGTCTTTTAAACAGCTGGTGTCTAAGTCCGCCTACTTCTCTCTAGCTGTTCTCCTAGGAAATTTAATTATAAGAAACAGCTGAACTTATCAATTTTCTAAGAGATCTTAGACAACGGAGTCATTGTTCTTGAAGTACCCAGAAGTACCCAGGTGCTAGCTACACCCAAGTGAATTTTCTAAAGAAACAAGGATGGCAAACCAGACATTCATCCTATGTCAGTGATTAGGAGGCAAACCACAAACTTGCTCTTCCCATGCTTTGGGTTAGTTTGTATGCATTTGAGGAAGATGACTCATGATAAGAAGTTTTATAAAGTGCACTTAGTAATTTCTTATAGGATTCATTTGATCAGACAATCATTTTGGGCAGGAGCTTACAAAACATATACAGATTCAAAGATTAAGTATCTAGGTGAGGATTTCTCAACCTTGACACTGTGGCCACTTCAGACCACATCATTTTCCTGGGGTAGAGGGTGTCCTGTGCATTGTAGCATATTTAGCATGTCCTGTACATTGTAGCACAATGACATCCATGACCTCAACCCACTAGATCACAGTAGCACTGCCTCCTTAGTTGTTTCACCCAAACTGTCTCTTAACATTGCCAAGTGCCCTGTGGGAGTCAGAGAAGTTCTGTTTGGGAACCAATCACTGGTCTAGATCCAGTGGCTATGTGTTGAACTGCCCAGGATTGTTGTGGAGATCAAATTAGACAAAACTTGTTTAAACGCTTTTAATCTGGAAGCTCAGTAGAAAAAAGGAAAAGAAGTCAGGGGAAGTCTCATGAAAATTGAAGGGATATCAGTGGAATACAAGAAAGAGGCCAGGGGGCTGGGGCTGTAACTCCGTGGTAGAGTGCCTACCTTGCACTTATGAGGCACTGGGTCTGACCCTCACCACCACATAAAAATAAATAAAGATACTGTATCCATCCACAACTTAAAAAAAAAGAAAGAAATATTAAAGAGAAAGAAAGAAAGAGTCCAGGAAAGAAGAAAGGGAAAGGGGAAATACTGGGGAATGATATTAGCCAAATTATATTGTTGTACTGTATACATGTAACAATATGTAACAATAGATCCCACCACTAGCACAACTGTAATGCACCACTAAAAAATATGGAAAAAAAATTTATATTCCTAAAAATTTTAAATGTTTTTAAAAGCAAAGCAAACATTTATATACATGTAGTTACAGTACATCTATTATCTTCTCAATCATTCGTTTGTTCATTCAGTTGTCTTAAGTTTTTTTGAGCCAAATGCTGGAAACTCATAAATAAATTAAGAACTATGATAGGCTCAAATAAATTAAGAGCTATGAGAAGCTCCAAATAAGAGGTTAGAAAAAGAGAGCTCATGAGAGATGCACTACAGTGAGTGCACATATATAACATGCACAAAATATTTCAGAAGCTCCAAGAAAGGCAGGGTTGCTTCTGAGAACGACCATAGCAAACCAGTGGACCATGCAGCCGAAGTTGTGTGTAGCATTAGCAATTGACTAATTGTGACTAGAGCCCTTTCATATGACGCCATATATTCATGCAGTTTTACTCCAAGTCTTTACCTGTTGACAGTCGGTATTAAGCACAGCTTGAAGTATTATCATTTATCAGGGCCAGTCTTGAAGTGGCATCAAGTGTGAATGAGTAACTTTAGACTTGAAATTGTCACAGACAGCTGTTATTTTTTCCCTGTCCTTCTTTTTGCTCATATCTGTTCCAATGATAGCAAATAATCAAATAAAAACAGAAGCAAAAAATAATTTCAAGCCAGATTTCTTTAAGTAAAGGAGTAAACATCAGAGACATCAGGGGATAATGCTGGATCAAAGTAGAAACTCAGCTGTGGGCATGTTCCTCAAGTGGAAGAATTGAGTCTGTTTTAGTTTTGTTGATTCAAAAAGAAACACTCAGAGCATTATGAACACCTGTTTTTAAATTCTAAATCTGGCATTGTATATATAGATCAGAATAATTCTAAAGCCTGAGTGATTAAACTTTTAGTTCCAGGGAGATTAGGATGATCATCATTGAAGTACCAGAATTTCCAAATTTTATTCCAGGGTATTCTACATTAAATATTTCTTAATAAGGAAATTCCACATAAAAGCCAGGGTGCCTGCTGGAGCCACATTTATATTAAAGACTTTAGCCTGGTCCCCTGTAAACCTCCCCTGCAATTTTACCTAGTTCATGTTCCAGAGGTACTCACAGGTTGCCTAGAACAAGAGTTGTTAGCTTTAGCCTGTGCTGCGCTAATGGTTATGAGTCACATTTGTTTTGGAAGATCACCCTTAAAGCCTGCCACTCATGCTTGTTTATGAGGAATGCAACAACTTAAACATCACTTAACAAATCCTCATGAATGCACAGTCACATCTGAGTGCTTCCAGCAAATGCTTCCTGTCATTTCTCCCTCAACAGCCTAGAGAAATTAAAGGCTGATGGAGCAACTGAAAGACATCCAGGAGAGCTTATTAAAAGAAGCATGGGAGGGTATGATAACTGCAAAGCCAGCTGTTGAAACTAATATAATTGGGGTAAGATTAAATTTCATCAGTCTTAAGAGTGCTTTTTACCACCAGAGAAATCAATCCACCTTATTTAAAGTGATGCTAATATGGGTCATTCTACATAAGGAACTATCTCATGCCTTTAAAATAATCATGCCGTGCTGATTGTTTTAAGCATTACAAGTGAAACAAACAGCTGCCAGGTGGATCTATTGGTATACTCAGGCTCCTTGTAAAAATTTTCTCAACATTATTTTTAAATCTCAGTTTGATTACACAACCTGCCCTCCATGTACATCAACTGTGCATCCTTGGATTCAATCAATTGCAGATCAAAAATATTCTTTAAAATATTTCATCTATACTGCACATGTGAATTTTTGCTTTTCATTATTCCCTAAACTCCAACAACTATTCACATAGCATTTGCATTATAATTGGTACTGTAAGTAATCTAAAGATGATTTCAAGTATGAGGAATATGAATAGGTTATATGCAAGTTATATACCATTTTATAGAAGGGACTTGAGCATCTATAGATTGTGGTCTCTGTGCAGGGTCCTGAAACTAATACCCCTGGATACCAAGAGACAACTGTATTTGCAATATGAGAAACAAATATACCTTATTTAGGCATAGTCGTGTGTTGATAACTTTTATGTGGCAACTTACTATGACAATCAAATCCATATTATGCTTTATAAATTAGGAACTCATTGGACATATTTATGTTTTTTTCTATGGGGTGAACTTGTTGTCTTCAACTTCCCTCACTTGAAAAAGAACCTGTATTTTTCATAAAGCTACCAGGAATTAATTTAGTCAACAAATATTTAGTGAGCAATTACTATCTCCCACATACTATTCTAAGTGCTTGTAATGCCTCAGTGAACAAAAAAAAAGAAACCTCCTACTGACATAGAGTTTCCCTGAGCAGGACATGGGGGGTGGGAGGCGGAGAAGGCACAAAGGTGAGGTGGAAAATAGGCTGCAACAATAATAACTAAGTAAATTATCTGGTATTTCAGAAAGTAGAAAGTGCTGTGGAAAATTGCCCCATTTGTTCCTTATTTGAGTATACCCCAAAGTTGACTTTGACTATATGATGTCAATCTCCTAGGCAATAAATGTTAGAATCTGATTTAAAATAATTTAAAAGTAAACTAAATGTCTGTGTTCTCTCTGTCTGGAAGCTTCAGAACCAATCCTCTCTGTTGATGAAGAAACTCAGGCCCAGAGGGTTTGAGAACTTACCGAAGATTCAAAGTAGTTGCAGGCAGGAGTGGGACCAAGACACAGCCTCCACCCCCATGTACTTTCTTCCATAGTTTAGCATTTGACAACAAGCAACCTAGTTGATGGAATCCATTTGAAAAACTGGACCGTTTCTTCTCTCACTGCAGAAAAACCATCAACCTAGAGAAGGTTTTTGCAGGGCCTTAGGAAATCACAAGGCTCTTCTTTGTGGTGGAAGTGTGGCCCCTGAGTCATGCACTCCCATCCACCTTCCTTACTCACAAATTATAACTGAGTGCTGAAATTGCCTTTCCAGTGGAGCACTGGAATGCAAGGTTGGGATGAGCCCACTTATGTTGCGGTCACAGGCTTCACAAGTCCCATACCTGCAGTCACAGGCTTCTCTTTCTTTTTCCTGTCTCCTGTCCTGTTCTGTGCATAACTTGAACATTGCCATCATTCTTAGAATTCCACTAAGTTCTATGATAAAATTATTACTTATAAATCCTGAGTAAGGAAAGTTTTGAAAAGACGCTGCACATTATGAGTCATAAATTACAGTCAAAAGTCATGGATTCTACACTTAACAACTTACTTTCCCTAATTGTCAGTTGGGTTTCAAAATCTTTCTACTTACAAGATTGTTATAAGAACTTAAGGGTTAAGAGAGATTGTGTCTGTCATAGCACTCTGAAAACTGGAAATTGAAACTCAGTTCAGTTACTGCTGCCCTTTCTTTCTCTGAAGACAAATTGCTAGAGGAATAAACAAATTGTTATGGTTTAGATGTGATGTGTTCCCCAAAAGCTCACGTGTGAGACAATGCAAGGTTTGGAGGAGAAATGATTGTGTTGTAGCCTTAACATAATCAATGAATTTATCCCTGATGGAACTGAGTTATAACTGGAGGCAGGTGGGGTGCGGCTGGAGGAAGTGGTTCATTGGGGGCGTGGCTATGAGGTATATATTTTGTATCTGGAGAGTGGAGTCTCTCTCTCTCTGCTATCTGATCATCAAGTGAGCTGCTTCCCTCTGCCACACTCACCCACTATGATGTTCTGCCTCACCTGGAGCCCCTGGAGAATGGAGCCTGTTGTCTATGAATTGAGACTTCTGAAACTGTGAGCTCTCAAATTTTTTCTCTTCTACAATCATTCTGGTTGGGTCTTTATGTCAGCAAAAAAGCTTTCTAAAGCAGAAATTCACCATTATTTTGAAGATTGTTTAAGAGAATATTGTTAGTGAAGTTAGTCTCTGAAAACTGAAAGATCCAGCTGTGGCTGTTCCTTAGAATAAGCTGGGAGTTTTTTTGAAAATTAGAGATTCACAAGTCCCATACCTACAGAAGCATAAGATCTGGAGAGATGCCCTGGATTTTTTTTTTTCTTTTTTGCACACTAGTTGTGTTTATTTGTTTTAAGAAAACCCCAAACATAAGTCTGAACATAGTTGCTTTGGGAAACCCTGTTCCTACTGATGCTGAACTCCTCCCCAGCCCCATCCATGGCTTCACTTAAAAATGGAAGCTCCCTAATTATTAAGGCTCTTGCCTTTTTCACTCAATCAACATACCCCTTGCTCACCCCTCCTTACTTCCAACTCCACCTTGACACTGCTTTTATTAAGCATCCCCATTAGTCCATCCTCTCCTGTCCACCTGCTGCCCTCTAGTGGAGGTGCTAACAAGTAACTAAATAGTAACCTTGGGAGGGGAGTAGTCAGCCTGAAATGGCTAGCTCACACAGGTCAGTGTGGGTCCCCACCAGGACGGCAGAGACCACAGCTATGCCAGGAGTCATCAGATAACTTCAAGCTGTTTATCCTTTGTTTGCACACAAAGTTGATGGCCTCTGTTCATGGGCTTTTTTACAGATCAGAAATGTACCTGGAAAAGATTACCCTTTAAATATTTGTGCTTCTTTGTCCCTCATTTCTTTTGCTTCTAGCATTTACCCGGATTCCACCTCTTCCAAAAGAAGATAGTTCTCCCCCTTCTTCCTCAACCTTTGGATTTTTCAGATCTTGCAAAAAACCAACAACAACAACAAAAAAAACAACTTAGGACCTTCCAGTCATCAAGCTTAAAAGGCACTTGCTTGAACCAAATGTCGACAGTGTAAAGGGCACTGAATTGATGTGTTCTCTAAGACCCTCTGAGGTCTTGAAGTAGTTTTCTTTTACCCAGGAAGCACTGAAACTAAAAGGGATTAAGAAGATTGTAGTGCATCACACAGCAAGTGGAAAAGCTGCAACTGGAACTCAGTGTGGCTGATGGAAAGCCCTCCTATGTACCTCTAATGTCTTTGTAAAGTGTTTAGTGAATGTTTGGTCTTCTACTTAGTAAGGCTGAACTTATAACTCCATGTTATAGCAATTAATATATCTCTCATTTTATGTTCTTGCATCCAAAATTACTTAGCAGAGGAACTTGGTAGGAGTAAGTTCTGAGAAAAGGTTAAGACAGCAAAAGCCACACAATCGATGCAGAGTTGAGAATGGATTTCACAGGATTGATGCTATGTATTTCTGCTCTACGAAAATTAAGTAGTTATCTCTCTTAACTACCCAGGAGAATTTCTAGTCCAAATACTGATGTAAATAAACTGTGTGTGTCTCTGTGTGTGTCCATCACCACAGGACATGATCCCTAGCTTAAATTTTCCCTTTTTGCATGCTATTTTTTCGTAGTGTTATCATTAATTTTATGTTAATATATATCTTTTCCTCAAAAACTATAAGCTATGTGAGATCTCATTTGGCTGATTTTTTTTCTTTCATTACCATTGTATATCATTATTGTTATTAGAATACTCTCAGACAACCTATTCGACTTCTTAATTAGAATGTGCGTGTACACACACACACACACACACACACCTCCCCCCATGTTAGAATACATAGCTCTATGTAAATAAAGACCACTTTGAACCTCAGATCCATTCCTTACTCTTTGTGTGACCAGTATAGTATGCAAAGAGTGATAATTAAACTCTTGATTTCAAGTCCTTCTCCTACCATTTTTAAATTTCGATACATTGGCCAGGTAAAAACTTCTGTGAGCTTCACATGTACTGGTGAAACCAGGATTACATGACATATTATCTCAACTAAGCAAGCTCATCGAAGGGATTCCTCAAGGGCCTTTGCAACTCCATGAGCTATACCTGGATTTGCGTAATAGTTGAAGCCCCTGAAGAGTTACAAGAAAATTGTTTTAATTAAAATTAAATAGCTATGGTCAAATCTGTTCTTCCACTGGCTTGCATGAATGATGGGTTGCCTTCTTTCTCACAGATACTCAGAGGATTCCTTCAATCTGGTTTTTCTCTACTGTGGTTTTAAATTCATAAGTACTCTATAGACAAGCATTAAACTCTCATAATTAAAGGGCCTCTACCTAAGCCTTTTATAAAACAAATATGCCTGTGTAAATAAGGACATCTTATTTTATTCATATTTGTGTGCATTCAGGTTTTCTGGTGTAGGGTGTATCTGAGTAGATGGCTGAAGGCCGAGCTCCAGGTACCCAGCATTATCCAAGCCCCCTGCATGGGAACGGTCCATACAACTTCCTGTGTTCCCTTTCCACAGCCTTGAGGGGATTGTAGGGTATAAAAATATAGCCACACAGCCTTTGATGCACATGGTTTGTTGTTATTATTATAGCTTCTTATTTTAAAATCCCAACTTTAAAAAAGTATATCTCCTAAAGTTTAATCATCATGAAGTTCCAGAATTCCAAAGAAAGCTAGATTTTTATTTTTATTTTATTAATTTTGGTAACAGGGATAGAATCCAGGGGCGCTTAACCACTAAGTCCCATTCCCAGCCCTTTTTTATTTTTATTTTGAGATAGGGTCTTGCTAAATTACTCAGGGCCTTGATAAGTTGCTGAAACTGGCTTTGAACACATGATCCTCCTGCCTCAGCCTCCAGAGCCACTGGGATTAAAGGGGTGTGCCACCACACCCAGCTATGCTTTATCTCTTGATAAATAAAATAGTAAGTAAGGGCTGGGGTGTAGCTCAGTGGCAGAATGCTTGCCTCGCAGGTATGAGGTGCTGGGTTTGATCCTCAACACCACATAAAAATAAAGAAAAGGTGTTGTGTCCCTTTACAACTAAAATATTTAAAAAAACAGAAAAGGAAATACTAAGTGAATTTACAAAAGAAATGCCCATAAACAAACTTGAAAAGAATGGCGTGTGAGCTAGTAAGGTTGAGAGAGAGGTTATCTAAACTAGCAGTGCTAACCTGCTTAGTACTGCAGTAGCTGTATAGCATGTGGTTAAAAGGACAGTCTGGATTTGAATCCTGCTTTGTCACCATTAGTTGTGTAAACTCAATGAAGTTGCTTCACTTTCCTCTGCCTCAGTTTCCGTAGCACACAGGTTATTGTGAAGACTAAGTTAAGTCATATAAAAAAAAAAAACTTTCACAATTATCTGGTTCACAGAAGCTCCATCAATATGGGTGAGCTAGTATTGTTTAAAAACTAAAGAAAGAGATCCCAGAAGCCACACAGCTTGGTGGGATTCAGATACACGTTTTCCTTGCCTCCTTTCCCTCCGACCCCACTTTGTTTACTTCCCAACCTGCCTCTGCCTCCTATTTCTCTTCCTTCCAATTTGGGAATAGCCCATGAAAATGTTTAAAGTGAAAAAAGAGTTGAATACTATTAAGGATGCCAGCATCTGTGATAGTTAAGTATACTTTCCAGCTAAAGTAACCGTATCCAAACCATATGGGTTTTAGGGCAAAAAAACGAAAACAAAACAACAACAACAACTTATTTCTTAGGAAAAAGGTTTAACATTTTGATGGGTCTGCCTCTCTGAATGGGTATTTCTTCTGGAAGATGGAACTTGCCTCCGTGATGAGATAAGATGGTTGGACTTGGATCCAAAGGACCAGCCTTAAGGGAGTATCTTACATACTCTTAGGACAAAATTCCCTCTGCAAAGTCCTCTTGTCCTCCTCCATCACAGGTTGTAGTAGCAGCAGTTTGTACAGGTGACACATATGAACATATAAAGAAGGTCAAAATGCAAAAGAAAAGTTGTCCCTCGGGACCTTTTGCAGTATCTCCAATCTTTCTGCTTTTTATCTGCCTCACCAGGGCCCCACTGACCTCAAAGGTCCCCTGTTGCCAGGCCATGAAGGACATTTGAGCCAGAGGGCTGGGACCACAGCCAAAGCTGATGAAGGTGCAGAATGTATGACTAAAAAAAGCCCAAACACATGGCACGGGGTATAGCAAATATGTTTGGAGAAATGGTTTATAAATAACATAGAAAGGGGAAGGGGGTCAAGAGTCAAGATATTGAGTTGTCCCGATACTTGAGGTCAGTCTCACCATTTCTAATCCTGAACCCGAATTTGCACACATTAAAAAGAAGAAGGGGAGGGGAAAAGGCTCTAGGCTCCCTGAAAAAAAAGCAACTCCACCTGGGCTCTTTCCCCTTTTCTTTGTCAAGATATTTGTTAGTTTGGCAGTAAGCGTTTTAAACAGGATCTCTTTCATTTGGAATACAGTAAATTAAAAGATATGCTTCTACATTTCAGAATAATCAGATGAACAAGGAAAGAAAATAAAGCAAGAAACAACTCACAAATAGGCTTTATGCTTTTCTGAGGGTGGTCTAAGGCTAGGATGCTGCAGATATTCGAGTATTTAAGGATGTTTTAAAATAGTTCCCATCACAGAGGGTGGATGAGCTAATGATAGAAGGAATAAGGAAAGAAGTTAAGTAATCTGGGATGGGCTTCTTCTTCTTTTCCCTTTTCTCTTTCTGATTGTTTCTCTTGACAAGCCTGAAGGTATCTCAATTCTGGTTCAGAACTACCAAACCCCAGGGGTCAACATCTGGAAGCCAGAAGCTTATCAGTGGTCTCAACTCCTCCTCCCTCCTGGGGAGCCCTGACAAACACAACTACTTTCTTTTCCTGTTTAGTGGCAAAGGTTTGGCTCCCTTTTCTTTCATATGGGAATATGAACTTTGGGGGCTTTTGTGGCTCTCTTATTTATTTTTTGAATAGACAAATTCTTGTTCCTCTCACAAGCCCTTTCCTTGGCACGGGGAGACCACAAACCAACTGTGACTTATATCTGTCCAAGGAAGGGTAACCCATTGGTTAAAGACAGGCTTCTTATAAGTGAATGAACTTATTTTTGGTTTTTTGCCAGGCATATTTCTTTACTAGAGAGCTGAATCAGGAAGACCAGGATTTTTGGTGTTAATGTATACATTATTTAAAATTTTGGCAGTTGGCTTTCTGGTTTGAATCTCATTTTCAAAATGAAATTTATGCCTTGAGTCAGATCATACTGATACAGCTCTGAAGATGCCAGGAAAAATTCTGTGATTGCATTTGCAGCTGCAGGCAAGGCCGTGGCACGAGGTGAGAAGAAGCACCTTCTACTTAATGCAGAATTGTGAATTCAAACTTCACATTTTCTCTAAATCAAACGGTATTTTGTTCATTTCAGTACATTGATTGAGTCAAATAGGAAATTCTTCTCTTTTATGCTCTGACAGAATTAAGTTCTTAAAAAAAAAAAATCCATGGATAAGCATGGCTTTCTTTTTTTTTTTTTTTTTTGTATGATATCAAAGCCTATATAACAAAAGCAATTTCAGAACTTTGTGACTTCCCCTTGAAGGTCATGCCACAGGCTATTGTTCATGATTCTGTAATTAACTTCTTGTGTTGTTTGTTTAATCATCAGTGCAATCATTTTTGTAATTATTCAGGCCATGACAATATATTTATTGACAACATAACATAAGAGATGACATCACCTGTTCCACTGAAATTGAGAAACCTTGAATGTGAACACTCTCCTAACAGCAGTTCAATAATCCATTCAAGAAAGAAAAGAAAGTTCTTAGTGAAACCACATGGGTTTCCTTTCTAGGTGCATGGAGACAATTTAAAAATTCAGTCTCAAATGTTGCTGGGGATGCAGGCCAAACCTATAATTTTAAGATTGGACCTTTTTAACCTGTTCAACCTTGGGATACCTCTTATCTTTCCCCTAAAATTTCTCGGCAATAATCACTAGTGTATTGGATCATTTATGTTTTCACTGTCTAGGATATAGCACATCTTCATCCTGAATATGTGAATTTATTGTTAGCTTTGACAATGTGATATACGGGTCTATTGTCTTTAGACTTCAGGTCACTGCACTTATTCTGCACTCTCCAGTCTTCAGATTATTGCCCTTGACTATGAAGAAGAAAATTCTGAGTTTCCCTTTGCTATCACTTTCTTGTCTGATTTGAATCATCTTTTTTGTTGTTTCCATATTATTTTGGTAGAGTTTTGTGAGATGAGACAAAACTCAGCTTTTTACTTTGCCTTTTAAATGGAAAATCTCTAAACTGTTGATTGTGTCACCTTTTATTTAAAAAACAGATATAGAATACATAGGTAGTGTGTATGTGCACGCATGTGCAGGTGCTTAGTATTAACTTGGCCTCTGTCTTCTAGTACAACCTGAATAGTTAAAAGGTCTTTTATGAAATATGTAAAAGAAGTGAAATCTACCCATGCATGAGGTTTAATTGAAGGTAGAGATGATTCCTTTGGGTTATTATGCTTAGGCTAATTAATAAGTCTCAAATTATAATCTATATGTAACAAATATATAACAATGTTATCATTGCTTGGCAAGTCACAATACAACCCAAGTCGTCAACTTCAGTTGAGAGGGATGGTGGTGAAAATTTCTGAACCAGAGTGCTGACCCCAGGAGTCGGTAGGAGGACTTTGGGAAGTTGGAGTGCAGAAAGGCAACACTAATCATTTCATTCATTGCTTCCTTGTTAATGTTTCTTGGGAATGGTGCATGACTGGCATCATCCAAGGCTTGCTGCAAAGGAGGAGGGAGACACCGAATGTAAAGGTGAGAACAGATGAGAAGAAATCACCCTCCACCCTCAGGTGCCCCTGGACCAGTCTACCTGTGGATATGCTGCTCTGTTCTGAGCACACCCAGCACTTAGAGTAATAAGCTACAGACAACTTCTACTTTCAAACATAATGTTTCAAAATAATAAGATTCCAGAATAGTCTATTTGTAACCACTTAGCCACTTAAGGTTGAAATCAGAAAGGAAACAGGAGCATTTATGTGGGAAGGTTTTAAAAACTGGTTAGAACTGGTGTTTTCTATTCAGCCATTTAGGTTGTGTTTTAGGTTTCTTCTCTCCATTATGCATTGGCTTGTCTTGGGTGGAGGAGCACTGTGTTGGCAGGGTAACAGAGATGTGAATCAAGAAAATGGAAACACCACTCAATATTAAAAGCTACTGTCCCCCTAAAAGTGACCACAGATCATCAGGTCTTGCCACATATTCAGATTGCAAAGCAACTACAGAATGCTAAAGAATATTCTTTACAACCAGTTACCCCTGGAGTTTTGCTACTTACACTCTGCTCTTAGAAATGTGACAGTAGACTCCTTTGAAAAAGAAAATCCTAATGTTGACATTAAGAATCAGCATTACTCATAGCAGTAAATACAGGCTTATTGATGTTCTAACAGGTGGCTGCTAAGAGATCTGTGGGCTCATAACTAGAGTGTATGCTAGAACAGACAGGAGGCTCACAGGCCTACAGGAGAGAAATGGCTCCTTGCCTTTCTTCCCTGTTGGATTTCTTTATACAGCTGTGTGTGTTGCAGGGACCAGAGTTTGGTTTCCCTGAAGTAAGCCTAGCAACTTGTTTTTCAGTTCAGCACAGTAAAATCTGAGCAGAAGAGAACTCCTTGTTGGCCACCCACCTCACAGTCTCTGAAAGGGAACTCTGTGAGGAAGCATTCCACATTAGGCAAATGTACATTTCTGCAATCAAAATGAAAAACACTTGAGCTGATTCATCTACAGTTAGCTCTGGCTGATTGAAAAGAATGCAGGGAACCCTGCAAGTTTCAGCGATTTTGGCAGGGGAGGAAACAGCTGTAACGTTGTCGAGGGTCTGTAGGAGCTGTGCAGGCTGCTGACAGCACCAGGAATGCCCAGCAATGGGGCTGATACATTCCCCTTTGCTCAAACATGAATTGAACTTTTGACCCCATATGAAGCATCTGGCTCTTGTGGACCTCATCCTGTTTTTCCACAGACTGCTTTTCTCTTTCACAACCAGAGGGTAGGATATTTTTTAAACTGTTTTGCTTTTACTCAAAGCTAGATGTTCTTTAGTTGCAGCTGAAAGGGTTGGAAAGTGAGGAATGAGAACTGGTATTTCCTGCTATCCCACAGGGTTAGGGAAAAACCAAGTTGAGGACTGTCCAGTAAACCTTAGATGTGTTATCTAGGGATAGTCATCAGTTAGGAGGGTTGTTTTCAGTTACTAAAGACCCTCTCGTCTCTCTTTGAGGCTCCTTCTCCCCAACCCCATCTCCTTGCTGTTCCTATGCCCATCCAAGTCAGCACTTGTCTACCATCCTCCTGCCAGGGCATCCTCTGCAGCTCCCCGACCAGGCCTCCCCTTCCCAGAAGAACTCCACACATTGACTTTTCTTTCCCTTGTACTTCACAATTTATTTGCATCTTAAGCTGATGACCCACAGAAAGAACCAGATAAACCAATTTATTCTAAGGTATGGCTGACTTGAGTGTTCTGAATATAACTCTTCCAAGGGTACATGCATTTTATTAATACAGGACCATGATTCATCCAACGAATGTGTCTCTAATGGTAAAATTTCTGTCCTCCTGTACCAGCTTGTATAGATTATTGGGGGAATAGAGAAAGTCTTCCCTGAACCTTTTAAGTCATTTCATTCCCTGTGGATAAACTTCCTACTACTTTCCCACATTTTAAAAGATGCACAACTAAGTCACTATATCAAATTTTTACACTTGTGGCAAAATGCATTGAAATCAGTGAGAATTTTTTTAAAAAATGGCATTTTATTGTCTTCCATTTATTTTACGTGATTAAACTGAGTCACCAATTGAACATCCTTAGTCATAGATTTGTAAAACTTCCAGAAGTTCTGTAAACCAAATAAAGCGAAGTAATGGCAAGTAGATGGATTGAAAAATAAATTTCTTCATCTGATTAAAAAGAAAATGAAGGGAAGGGAGGGAGGATGGGATTAGGAAAGATAGTAAAATGAATCAGTCACAGCTTTCCTACATTCATATATGAATACATGACCAATGAAACTCACATATCATGTACAACCACAAGAATGGGATCCTAATTAGGATAAGTTATACTCCATGTGTGTTATGTATAACATGTAAAAATACACTCTACAGTCATGTACATCTAAAAATAACACATATTTTTTAAAAAGTAAAGGGTAGCAGTTACCCTCTAGAAGCCAACAATAAAAGGGAAAATATTTCCAAGATTCTTTGTAAAGGCCAAGCAATTACCAAGTGGAAACCCTGGGCTCTATGTTCAACATTGTGTCATGAATTTTTAACTTAGAAGCAATAAATGACAGGGACATCAGTCTTATTGAAAATGCTAATTGATTATTAAGCGTTATTTATTGTTACCAAATAATAGCATTAAAATATTTTCAGTGATCAACATTGGAAGTTTCAGCCGTATGATTGCATTATCATTTTCTTGGCTGCAAATGCCTTGTGTCAGGTACCCTATCTCATAAACCTCTGTTGCATCTCACAAAAGGCTTTGTGAAAGGTCAGCAATTAGTAAACACTTGTTTTCTGAGTTAAGTTTTGTTTTCTTTCTATTTTGCTTTCTGTTTTCCCTTGGGCTGCATGGTATTTAATAAGCCCAGGGAGGGAAACCGTCTCTTAGAAGTTCTTATGTATAAATAAATTGATGTCAAAGGCCCAATTTCTGTATAAAGAAACAAATGCAGTCAACTGATTTGGTGCACATTTACAGGGCACCACCTATGTGGTGGGCCCCTGAAGAAGAATGAGGCCTTGTTCCTGCTATTGTCCTTCCCTAGCTAGATACTAGACCTCACAGTGATAGATATACCTGCTGAGGAGGCTCCCTGTCCTGAAAGGACCTCAACAAGAGGCACAGAGGTATTCTGAAGGCAATGCCCTGGAATGTGAAGCCTGGGACAGGAGTGTAGAGTGGGTCTGAGAGATCAGACACATTTTGCACTTGTGGGGGAATTCCCTCGTTGCAAATAGATGGTGATTTCAAATTCTTGATCCAAACCCTACTTCCTCTTTTGAATCAAGTAGGCTTGTAACTATTCTTGAGGCTCTGAAATAGTAAGGGATCTTCCTAATTGAAAATTTAGCTGCTGGTTTCAGAAGCAGAGTTTTGAAGTCAGAAAAAGGAAAGGGACTAGGACAATAAGCGGAAGCGCAGAACAAGAGGTCCTTATCTGGTCCAGCTTCCCTTCCACCCAGCCACCACCCAACATTCCATCAGAGACAGCCTTAAGAATGTTGAGAAGAAATTCCTCACAGTCCCCAAGCCACTTGTTTCTATCTGAAAACCCTTGGTGAAATTTACCTATGTAACTTGCCTAAATGGCTCTTCATGAATTTAGCTAGCATCATGCTCACGGAAATATCTTATATCTAAGTGTATTCTAGGGCTTCAGCTCTCTTTACTTCTAGTCCAGAAGTTCTCAGACTTAGCAAATGTGACCTTTATTCACTGAGGTTTTAGATAGTACTTGGAAGTGACATCGACTCTTGGACCAAATCACTCAACTTTCTTGGTCACTCTCACAGCCATACATATTGATGCAGTCCTTGGTTTGGGAAATATAGTTTGGGCTTAAATAACCCTAAAACGTCACATCACTTTTTGGAGATCTTGCATGTTCTTCTTTTGTGTTCTTTAAAATGCAGAGACTACATTGGATTTATTATTAAATATTATTTAATAATAATAATATATTATTAAAATAATGGCATTGCCAGCACTGTGTTTGAAGCCATTTTTCTTCCTTAACCATTGCTGTAGCAGTGCCAACTGTTGACTCCTTGGAATGATCACCTTTGTGCTAAGCGTCCTAGAACATAGCACTGTAACTTCTTAAGTACCCTACTAGACTTATTTGGTAAACTATATACAGTAGCAATTCCCAAAATTTTTGTTTGTTTCAGGGCCCCTTTCTATATTCTTGCAATTTTTGAAAACACAGAAGAGCTTTTGTTTTATGTAGTTTGGGGTTATTGCTGTTTACTGTCCAGGAAATTAACAATAAAGGTTAAAGCAGCACAACACATTATCTGTCTCATTGATGATATCATATGTCATATAGCATTTGCAAAACTCCACAGCCCACTCAGGTAAGAACAAAGGGGAAAGAAACAAATAATGGTCAATATTATCATAACGATAGCCTTAACTTGGTGAATACACCAATACAGTATTAGATTAGTGACTCAGCCTAAGGCCCAAAGTAAATACGAACAGATGATGCTAAATTCTGGTTAACAGTGCTGAGAGGAAGGAAGGAAGGAGAAGAGATTGATTTACACAGAATCCAGGATGTATTCATTAGCTACTGGTTTTGCCTAGTCTCATACTGCCTACCCTAGAGAATTGCTTCTGTTGATTTGAGTTTTTAAAGAAGCAGTCCAATGAAATGTTTTGCTGAATTCTTAGCAATGATAAAAGGGAGCACGCTGTTCCCTTTTGCAGTGATCCATGGATAAAATGGTAAAATGATCTGTAGAAGAAATGCCTAATGCTTCAGTAAAAACTGTTTCTCCTCAGAATCTAGTATGTTTTTATCTTATGAACACTGTAGAGCTTACAACTATGCTTTCAGATCTGCTTTGGCCAACAGAAAAACAAGAGCTAGAAATCCAATTTCTATTTATTTATTATTCAGAATCTAGTGGCATTATTTTTATAAGAAATTTTTGCTGGCATTATCTTATCCCTGGGATTATATTTTACCTTTGCTCTGATTTTTTCTTAATGCTTTATTGTGTCTGTTTCTTAAATTGATCTGTGTATTTAATCTCCAGTGGGAAGGAATGAATTAATCTGTGAGAAACAAAGAGATGAGATCCAGTTGAGAGGGATTGCCTGGAGTGTTTGGCAGGGTACCAACCAAGTTGGGTAGCTGTATAAGGTTTCACTAATGAAATGGATCTTAAGTGGAGATTAGGAGGGAAAGGAAGTGGGTTGCTGGACACACGGAGTGTTTCGTATGAGAAATTGGTGGTAACAAAGATGCAGTTGTGAAGTGAGTGAGTGATGTGCTAAGCACAGTAAGGAGATCTGTCTGACTGTGGTCCTGGAGCTGATTACCTTATTATGCTTTTATGTGATTGAAGAGGCAGCTGAGGATACGAGCTCTAGAAAAATAGAGTAACAGTTTCCTATTAAGGGAGGATTCTCACTTCAGTTTCTAAAATAAATTACAAGGTAGCAAACTTAAGTCTGAGAAGCCAATGAGGAGAATATTCTGGTACAGTATATCAAAGTAAGCCTATCAACAAAAGCAGGTGAGAATATGAAGAAGAATCTGTGAACTACGGTCATATCTTGTAGCTGGTTTAACTTAAACTTCATTCCCCTGTGACAGCTATTTATTGCTGCTCACCAGGTCTGCTCATTCACCTTTGTCTCCAGAGCCTAGCATAGTATATGGCACAGAGTAGGTGCTTCATAGTGTGTCAAATGAATAAAAAGGGTCCCTGTCTCCCAAGGAAATACAATGAAATATGTATAAATTGCTTTGGAGCTGTTTTATAAACAAGGGTAATAGCTAAGGAGCAATCACAATGGGATGGCTGGAGCAACAGTCATAGAGGAAAACAGAGGCAGAAGCAGGCAGGCAGGTGCTTTGCCTTTCCTCATTCTGGAGCAGTACATGGTCTTGCAGGACGGCGGCCCTAGGATACGGGGATTTTTAAGTTAGCTGATTAGGGAACGTTTGACTCCTTCCCTAGTGTGACCAGGGGCCAGTATACAATGAAAATAGATGTTAGGACTAGGGATGTAGTTCAGTGATAGAGTACTTGCCCCAGCATAAACAAACCCTGGGTTCAATCCCCAGCACAGAAAAGAAAATGTGTATCAGTACTTGGGCTCCAGTCTGCTCTTACCAGTTTAGTGTCTGTGATTTTAGGTAGGACCAGCTCTTCTCCTGGCAGGGTTGAAACTGGGGACCAAGATGCAAACTGAACAGCACTAATAGCCTTAAGAATTGGGCCAGAACTTTTCCATAGTATTCTGCAACCTATTTTCTTGGATCCTAGCTCATAGGGAGGACAGTCTTAAGAACATTAAAAGGTTGTCCTCTAAGCCTCACACCCCAGTCTACTGGTAATGTGTTCAATTTCAACCTGCGAAACCCATGAGGCTAGCCATGACATCACCTAGGACACAATAAAGGATTGTTAGGAAGGGTGGGGTGATCCCTAGGGTGCAGACCGTTTGGTCAAGGCTGCTAAAGTAGGACTATTTCCAGTGCTAGTTCTTGAAATTCTAGCCGGAGCAATTAAATAGGTGAAAGAAATTAAAGGGATATGGAAATAGGAAAAGAAGAACTCAAACTATCATTATTTGCTGACAACATGATTCTATACTAAGAGGATCCCAAGAACTATACCAGAAAACTTCTAGAATTAATAAATGAATACAGCAAAATAGCAGGATATAAAATCAATACCCATAAATCAAATGCATTTCTATACATCAGTGGTGAATCCTCTGAAAGAGAAATTAGGAAAACTACCCATTCACAATAGCCTCAAAAAAAAAAAAAAAAAACTTGATTCCCAAGTATTTTATTTTAATGAAAGAAGTGAAAGACCTCTACAATGAAAACTACAGAACACTGAAGAAAGAAATTGAAGAAGACCTTGGAAGACAGAAAGATCTCCCATGCTCCTGAATAGGCAAAACTAATATTATCAAAATGGCCATACTACCTGAAGTACTATATAGATTCAGTGCAATTTCAATTAAAATCCCAGTGTCACTCCTTATAGAAATAGAAAAGGCAATCATGAAACTCATTTGGAAAAATAAGAGACCCCGAATAGCCAAAGCAATCCTTAGCAAGAAGAATGAAATTGGAGGCATTACCTTAAACTATACTACAAAGCTATAGCAATGAAAAAAGGCATGGTGTTGGCATCAAAATAGATATGTAGACCAATGGTACAGAATAGAAGACACAGGGACAAACCCACATAAATACAGTTCTCATACTAGACAAAGGAACTGAAAACATACGTTGGAAAAAAGATAGTCTCTTCAACAAATGGAAGCATTTTCAATGTGTTAAAAACCTGTCACAGGTAGGATTTTCTAGGGAAATAGACTCTGAAATGGATATTAGTATAAGATGTTTAGTAAGGAGTTGCCTTTGTGATCAATACCTGAGAAGAGAGGAAGGAAGCTGTAAGTAGCACATTACAGTGGCCACCAGGACCAGCAGTGGTACCAGTGACAACAGATGAATATCAGCTCCGAGTGTAGGCACTGGGGAATGACCCTCTTTCTTATAGATTACCCAATTCTTTGTTGGTGCCTAAACTCTTTGACTCAAACAAGTTCTGGTCTTCAAGACAGGAGATGATGCCATGTCACTCTGTTACCAAAACATTTGCTAGTTTGTCACTTAGTCTCTGCAGAAATTGTTTCTGTCTTATTAATTTTAAACTGTCACCCTGTTACTATTCTGTGTCCAGAAATTGAAATCTCTTCTTACTGTCTTATTGTAATCTCAGAAAAGAATACATTTTAAGAAGAACTATAATCTTCCTCTTTCCCAAACCTACAACCTTACTGTGTTTATCACACAATGAATAATCAGATGTGTCAACCTGTTGTCTGTATAATTGCTGGTATTATTTTTTACTTTTACATATCTATTTCATTTTAATCGATTCATAGGGACAGCTACACAGGTATTTTAAAATTATCACTCCATGATTTTAGAGATAATGATCCCAAAGGGACTTTAAGGATCTTGACTCAATTATAGATAGATGTTTTTTCTAAGTGGTTCTGAAGCACTTGTCCCCAGTAACAAATTACAATTCAAAAATACACCAAGAGTTTTTTTTTTTTATTTTCCAAGGTCTCATTAAAGCATTAATGCAAATGGAATCTTTCTACTACTCCCCTGCTTTCTTTCATCCCTGACAGGATTAACATCATTAATTGCTAAAATTGAATCTGATATATTATAATTTTGTGTCATATTAAAGGTATATAATGTAAATGCCCCATAGATGTCAAATACTAAAGAACCTGCTACTATTTTAGTTATGCTGGTTCTTATCTTCCATATATTTATTTCAATTTTTAATTAATTTTATAAGTGGTTGATGAAAACGTATTGTGTCATGAATTGTTTTTAAAGGTATTTGTAGCTCAACAATTTTTCTTTCTCTAAGTCTAAAATTTTTTTAATATAACAATAAAGGGAAAGAGACCAACTAAGTATAATAACAATAATAATCTAATTAAAAGTAAATCTGGCTGGATGTGGTGGTGCACACCTATAATCCCAGTGGTTTTAATGTCTCCAATTTCATTTCTGATTTTACTTGTTTGAGTCTTCTCTCTTTTTTCGTAATTTATCAGTTTGGATGTTTTTACACACACACACACAAAGCCTTCAGTTTGGTTGGGTTTTTTTTTTCTATAGTTTTCCTCTTTTCTATTTATTTATGCTCTGATCTTTATTATTTCCTTCCCTCTGCTAGCCTTGGGTTTAATTTCTTTTTCCTTTGTAGTTTCTTGAGGTACAAAATTAGGTTGTTTATTTGACATCTGTCTTCTTTTTTAATGTGGGCATTTAAAGTTATAAACTTGCCTTTACTGCATCCTGTAAGTTCTGACAATGTGTGTTTTACTTCTTGTTTACCTCAATATATTTTTCAAATTCCCTTTGACTTCTTTTTTAAGCCAATGGTTGTTTAAGAGTATGATTTTTTTTTTTTTTTTTTTTTTTTTTTGCAGGGGGTGTGTTCCTGGGGACTGAACTCAGGGGAAGTCCACTGAGCCACAACTTAGCCCTATTTTGTTTTTATTTAGAGACAGGTTCTCACCAAGTTACTTAGTGCCTTGAGGTTGCTGAGGCTGGCTTTGAACTCATGATCCTTCTGCCTCAGCCTCCCAGGCTATGAGGATTACAGATATGCACACCACACCCAGCTAACAGTATGATTTCTGGATTTCCATGTATTTTTGAATTTTCCCATTCTCTTGCTGTTATAGCCTTCTTACTTTATAAGTTTTTGATATTTTAAAAGATGTTAAGCCTTATTTTATTAACATATAATCCATACTGAAGAATGTTTCTTGTGTATTGTTGGGTGAAAAGTTTTGTATATGTCTGATAGTTTCATTTGGTTTGTAGTATTGTGCAAGTCTCTTTTTTCATTGTTGTTGTTGTTGTTGCTGTTGTGGATTTGCTGTCTGGATATTGTATCCACTATTAAAAGTGGAAGATTATCATTCACCTACTATCATTGTGTTGCTGTCAATTTCTCTTTATATATCTTTCCATGTTTATTTTATATGCCTAGGTTCTCTAATGTTGCATGCATATATATTTATAATTTTCATATATTCCTTGAATTGACCCTTTTTATCAAGTGACCTTTTTTTTTCCTAGAGATAGTTCTTGACTGAAGTCGACTTTGTCTGATAGAAGTATAGCCACACTTGTTTTCTTTTATTTATATTTGCATGGAATATCTTTTTATATGCCTTTACTTTCAGTCCATGTGTGTCCTCAAAGCTTAAGTGAGTTTTTTATGGAAAACATATAGTTGCATTTTGATTTTTTCCATCAGTTTTTATTAAATATTCATTAACACAAATTATTTATGGTTGTTTTCATACTTTTGTAGTAGAAGTAAAAGGTGATTCTCCTCAGTATGATAAAAATACAATATTCTTGTTTTGTCTATCTTGACCTTTATCAATAGTCAACAAGCTTCCTACTTTCTGATGATCTCTTGTTTTTTGTTGTCTGTGTTTGTTTTTAGTGTCTTTTCATTGCATTTGAAGAACTTGCTTTGTAACTTCTTGTAAGGCATGTCGAGTGGTGATGAATTCCTTGTTTTTGTTTGTCTAAGAAATTCTTTATCTCCCCTTCATTTTTCATGGACAGGTTTTCTGGGTATAGTGTTCTTGGATGGCAGTTTTCTTTACTTCCAAGACTTTAAATATAACATCCAGCTTCCTTTAACCTTGCAAAATTTTTGCTGAAAAATCTTCTAATAGCTTTATGGAAGTTTTCTTGTAAACACCAATTTATTTTTCTCTTGCTGCTTTCAGAATTTTCTCTTTGTCTTTAACAACTTGATTTTAGTGTTTTTTTTTTTTTTTTGGTGAGTCTCTGGATTCATTTATTTGATATTCTTTGGGCTACCTGAACCTGATTATTTATATCCTTCTCCAAGTCTGGCAAATTTTCAGCCATTACTCCTTTGAAAAAGCTTTCTGCTCCTTTTATCTCTGTTTTATTCTAGAACTTCCATAATGTGTGTATTAGTAACTGGATGAAGTTCCATAGGTCCTTTAACTACCTTCACCTTTTCATTCTGTTTTCTTTTTGCTTCTCTGATTGATTGCCAATTGCCGGAATTTGAGTTTCCAGACCCTTTCTCCTCTGTTCATCTAGTCTTCTATTGAACCTCTCTATTAATTTTTAGTTCAATTATCATATTCTTCAAATCTATGATTTCTGCTTGGTTCTTTTTTATATTTTCTATCTCTGTTCAAATCATATTTTTAATGGGCTCCTCTTTTGACTTTGATAATAGCATCTTTGTTAATTTGATTTCTCTATTGAGTAGGTTACTTATCTTCATTTTATTAAAGTTTGTTTTTATAAACTTGTTGTTTTGTTTGGAGCACATTTCCCTATTTCTTCATTTTCCTGGACTATCTTTGTTGGTTTCTGCAGATTCAATAAACCAGTCTTCAGACTTGTAAAAACTTGTTTAGGAGATTAAGCTCACCCTCACCAATCAGCCTGGCCAGAGATTGTGAGTACTTCTAAAACTTCTGTGCTTATTCACATCACCAACTTTTTTTCTTAGTGACCCTCAGGAGTTTGGAGTGTGCCAGGTCTCATCAATGTTCTAAGATAGGCAAGACAAAGTCCTGTCCCTTGGAAAATGGGTAGAAAAATTAGAGTACTATATATATAGTCCACTTCTTTCTCTCATCAAATATAAGCTGGGAGCTGGAGTTCATCTTCCACTTACTCTTTACTATTCCAAAGAAAGGATCTATGACAGCTCTTTGCACTTTCTTTACAACATCTGCCCTTCAAACTAATTTCTTTGCTCTTTGTCACCCTTAGGGATCTGTCATACAATGGGAACCGTGAGCTCTCAGAGACAGCAGGTTAACTGGGACTTCAATCCTGTCTCTGGAGCAAGCCAGAGGAAGGAACTATGGGACATCCCCACATACCCATTCAGGCACCCAGAGGACTACTAATTGCCTGCTGTCCCAGATGCAGGCTTACTAAAAACCTGAACCATGGAAACAGCTGGGAAATTCAAGATAATTTCATATGTAGTCAAATCCCTTCCAAGGAAAAAGTGAGATCTGGGTGTTTTTGCCTGTTTGCTCTGTGCTATGCCTTGGGGAAATAGTTGCTTATAGTGTTTCTGCACCTGCTTGAAACTACCAGTTTGTTCTCTATAGTCCCAAGCTCTGACAGCTCCAAGAATTAAGTGATTTAGCAAACAAATCCTCAGGAGCTGTAAAAGCTGGGTGTTTGATGTATGGACAAACCCCATCCAAGAAGAAGGTGGATAATTGGTTCTATCACATGGAGACGGGGGTAGAAGGTGCAGGAAATACTTACATGACCTTTCAGGCTCCTGGAGGTGTTACTCTGGCTACCAGTACAGGATCAACCCATTCCATAGCAGCAGGGACAGCATGCCCCTTCCTGAGAGAAATTAGGAGCTGAACATATTGCCAGTTTAATCTGCACCGAGTTTGGGATTGCAACAAGGAATGTTTGCATACCTATTTAAATCAATGTCTTTGATGTTTCTGGTTCAAGATTAC